CCAAGCTAAATATTGACAATTACCTAAGCGATTTATATTCAGTGCCATACCAATCAAACTACCAAAAAATTATTTTATAGAGTTAGAAAAAATAATAACAAGATTCATTTGGAAAAACAAAAGGTCCAGAATATCAAAGGAACTAATGAAAAGAAATGCAGGGGAAGGTGGCCTAGCAATTCCAGATCTTAAATTGTATTATAAAGCAGCAATCATCAAAACTGCTTGGTACTGGCTAAGAAATAGGGAGGTGGATCAGTGGAATAGGTTAAATATGCAAGACACAGTAGTCAATGACTATAGTAATCTATTATTTGATAAACCCAAAGACCCCAGCTTCTGGGATAAGAACCCACTCTTTGAAAAAAACTGCTGGGAAAACTGGAAAAGAGTATGGCAGAAACTAGGCATAGACCCAAATCTCACACCATATACCAAAATAAAGTCAAAATGGGTTCATGACTTAGATATAAAGGCTGATACCATAAGTAAACTGGGAGAACAAGGAATAGTTTACCTATCAGATCTATGGAGAACAGAAGAATTCATGACCAAACAGGAGATAGAGAACATTATGAAAAGCAAAATGGATAATTTTGATTACATTAAATTGAAAAGTTTTTGCACAAACAAAGCCAATGCAACTAAGATTAGAAGGAAGGTAGAAAATTGGGAAAGAATTTTTACAACCAGTCTCTCTGATAAAGGCCTCATTTCTAAAAATATAGAGAATTAAGACAAATTTATAAGAACACAAGCCATTCCCCAATTGATAAATGGTCAAAGGATATGAACAGACAGTTCTCAGATGAAGAAATTAAAGCCATCTATAGTCATATGAAAAAATGCTCTAAATCGTTATTGATTAGAGAAATGCAAATCAAAACAACTCTGAGGTACCACATCACACCTATCAGATTGGCCAACATGACAAAACAGGAAAATGATAAATGTTGGAGAGATGTGGGAAAATTGGAACACTAATACATTGTTGGTGGAGTTGTGAAATGATCCAACCATTTTGGAGGACAATTTGGAACTATGCCCAAAGGACTACAAAAATGTGCATACCCTTTGATTCAGCAATAGCACTTCTAGGGCTATATCCCAAAGAAGTCAAACAAATGGGAAAAGGACCCATATGTACCAAAATATTCATAGCAGCTCTTTTTGTGGTGGCAAAGAATTGGAAATTGAGAGGATGCCCATCAATTGGGGAATGGCTGAGCAAGTTGTGGTATATGATTGTAATGGAATACTATTGTGCTATAAGAAATGATGAACAGGCTGACTTCAGAAAAACCTGGAAAGACTTATATGGTCTGATGCTGAGTGAAGCAAGCAGAACCAAGAGGACTTTGTACACAATATCAACCTTGGTGTGTGATGACTAATATTTTTAAACTGAACCCTTCTCAGCATTACAGGGATCTAACACATCTCCAGAGGCCTCGAGATGGAAAATGCTATCCACATCCAAAGAAAGAACTATGGAAGTTGAATCGCTCTCACTTATTTTTACCTTCTGTTGAGTTTTGTTTCATCTTTCTGATGGTTCCTACTATTGGTTTTAAATTTTACTTACAACTTCACTAATGTGAAAATATGTTTAATAGGAATGTAAATGTAAAACCTATGTCAGATTGTGTGCCATTTTGTGGGGGAGGAAGGCGGATAAAAATTTTCAACTCAAAAGCATATGGAAATGAATGTTGATAAATCAATAAATTAATAAAATTGGGAAAAAACAAAAAGGAAAAAAAAGATGATAGAATAAATAAATAGGGAAGAAAAATTTGGTCCCTAAATCCCACTATACCTTGTAAAATATAAACAGTCAAAATTGATATGCCTTTGGAAAGAGCCCCCACATGTAAGGATATGATTCTGCATGAAAAGAAAAGGAGAAGGAAGAGAAAGAAAAGCAGGAGGAAAGAGCAGTATTGCCCAACTGAAATTGGCCAACTAGGTCCCCAGGAAGGCAACTAGTCCACAGGGATTGTTCTTCTTCCTTAATTCTTGAAGACCATTGACATCAGGAGGGTCGTAATGTCTTGACTTGCAAATGAATTGGGTTTGAGTGGGGCAGAGCTGTGCAAAGTCCTCAGCCTCACTCTCTCCTCCAGTCATCAGAGTCCTTCCATAAGAGAATTAGTAAAAGATGTTGGCTAATTCAACCCAAATTAAAAGGGGGAAAGGACAACTTCCTTCAAACATCTCATGGACAGTCAGTGCAAATGGGATTGGGGTTGCTCAGTGTAGCCCGAGAGAGCAAAAGCAGTAGGAATTGATGGAAGGTCCACTGAGGTCAATTTAGGCTTGATGTCAAGAAAGACTTCCTAACTGGCAGAGCTATCCAAAGGTGGGTAGACTTCTTAGGGAAGTCGTGAGAACCTCAACCAATCAATTATACTTGGCTGTGCCCTAGGCATTGAGAATACAAACATAAAAAATGAATTGATCCTGGATCACAATGACATGATAATTAATGAGAAGAAAATTAATGTATACGCACATGTATATGTATGTTTATAGATATATACATGTGTATATATACATAAAATAAGTATGAAGTATGTATATATGTTTAGGTATACGTATTTATAGAGTTGGAGTTATTAGTATAGTTATACATAACTTTGTATTTATTCTGTTTACAGAGACATACAGTTAATATAAAGTTTATTTACATATTTCTATGCATATATGGATATAGAGCCACACAAAATAGTCACAAGGCAACACAAAGTAGTACGGGAGAGAGGGAAACAGCAACTGGGGATCCCAGGAAATGTTTCATTCAGAAGAAGATGGAGCCTGAGCTGCATCTTAAGTGAAGAGATGTCAGAAGGAAGGCTTGTCAGGCACCTTGTAGAACTCATTGCTGAGGGGCTATGGATTAAGTTAGATGACTCTGAATGCCCCTTGTGTCTCTGCAGTTCTGGGATTCCCCCAAACTTCCTGATTTCCATGGAAGGCACCACCATTCTTCTAAGGGCAGCAGCCTCAGAGACACCCACAACTTTCCCCTCAGCCTCCCTGCCACACCCAATCAGCTGTCATTTCACCTCAGCAATGTCTTCTAGGAACTGGCTTGTTTCTCCTCCCCTGGAGCTAACCCTCCAATTCAGGCCCTCATCAACCCTCCCCTGAAATACTGCATGCACCTTGTAACTGCTCTTTTTGCCTTCAGGGCCTCCTCTCTCCATCTATCCCCAAGTTGCCAAATTGATATCGTTAAAGCTCAGACATGGCCATGCCATTTCCCTTCTCAGAAATCTTTACTGGCTCCCCACTGCTGCTAGGAAAAAGAACGGCACCTTTGCTTGCCATCTAAAGCCCTTGGCAAGCCAGCTCCACAATGTGCCAGGCACTGGGCCAGGTGCTTTACCTTTATGATCCCACTTGACCCTCACAACAACCATGAGGGTGTTAGCAGGTGTTCTTATTATCCCCACTTCACAGATAAGGAAACTGAGGCCAACAGAGATTAAGTGACTTGCCCTGGGTTACAGTTTTTCTGAGGCTGGATTTGAACTCAAGTCTTCCTGATTCCTGGCCCAATGCTCTGTCCTGTGTGCCACCTACTTGGCCCAGTATTACTAGAGGATTGGATTGATGGGTGGATTGACTGAATCCTTCCTTAGTCATTGCCTGCCTAGGACAAATGTCCCTTCCCTGAACAACTGTCCGAGCTCCTCACAGCCATCCAGGATAGCCTCATCCCTGCCTTGTTCCTATTTATTCCCTTCTACTCATCTACTGTGCTTAGTGGAACCTCAGTTTCTAGGAGCTATGGGGTCCTCACTGGTGAAAAGCCATAAAAAAATCACGGTCAGTGAAAGATGAAAGGCCCGGACATGGTGACTTGTTAAAAGTTGTAACACAGACACTGAGTCACCATAACAGGAATATCGTGACCAGTGCATGGCCAATACACACATTTATGTGTGCACAGAACATTGGTTAAGTCCCAAACTCCACCCGTCATTAAGGATGGACTCTCTGGCTCCTGCTCTCTTTCTCAGTTCTCTATAATTACCGTGGGGATTTTTGGGATCCTCTGGGGTGCTCCCTTGAACTGTCCAGCTGCTGCCCCAGACTGAAGATCACCCCTGTCATAATGATTGATTCAATACAGATATAATCATTCAGGACATCCTGGGCCTCTTCATTTGGTACCAAAAGGAACACTCTACAGTCATGGGGGAGGAACAGGGCTCCCCAGCCAGGGGATTCTGGATCTTACAGTAACACACTGCCCTGGATGTCAGGCCAGTGCCTTCCTCTCCAAAATGACTGAACGCATTCTTGATTTGGTATTCTAGCAACATCTGATTTGCCCTTCAGCAGAACAAAGGCTCCCAGAAGCCTTGGGGACTGTCTCCTTTGATGTCTGGGTGCCCAGCACCTAGAACTGTCTGGGAGGATGTTGGCCATGCGTAAATTCTTGTTAGTTGGTGAAATAGACCCCCTGCAGAATGGGAGAGGCCTGCCACCCTCTGGTGGCAAAGGAGAACAGCAGGTAGGGCCCCTGAAGGAGCAGGACCTCCCCTGCCCTGCACCCTAGTAAGGGACACACATTCACTTCAGGCAGCTGGGGTGTGGGATGCATGGCTCAGAAACCTGGTGACCCTCATTCCTTGGGTGCCAGTACCCTGAAGAAGGGAACACAGACTACCGAGTCTAACCTTCTCATTTCAGATGGGGAAACTCATGAGATAAGGAAGCATGCCCTGGGTAGGGGATCCTGGGATACAGACTTCCTCATCAATGAGATAATACCATAGGCCAGTCAGGAGAAGGACCTGGGGCTGTTCAGAGGGAGAAGAGGAGACCCAAGGGAGCCTTGAGGACTGTCTTCTAGTGCTGGAGGTTGGTCCTTTAGCTGGAGGGTCAGGCTTCACATGCTGGGTCCCTGAGGGCAGAACTGGGGCCATTGAGGAGAAGGGGCAGGAGGCAGGTCTGAGGCAGGTTCAAGGCCAGGAGAGCCTTCACACAGAGCACTGGGCAGCCTCTGGAGCTGGTGGCTGCTCCCTCCCTAGAGGATTCCTGTGGGAGAAACAGGCCCAATGCAGGTCACAGCTGGAAGAGCCTGGGCCTTAATGCCAGGGGGTGTGCGGGGTGCTGGAGACCCCAGGGCCCATTTCTGGTAAGCAGAATGAGGAGGGGGTTGGGCAGTGGGTGAGGAGCACAGTATGCCGTGGGCTTGGGGTCAGAGGGCAGACATACTCACCGGGTGTAATAGAGCCAGGTGAGGCCATAGGTGAGCAGAAAGCCGGCCCCCATGAGGGCTCCCCGGAGCAGTGTGAGCATGAGGGGCCAAGAGCTGTTCTCCTGGGCAGAGAAGGCTGTGGGAGACAGAGGAGCATGGATGATTAGAGGCTCATTGTCCCCTAGGCTCCAGTTCTCCCCATCCAGCCTCACTCCCTCTCAGGACCCCAGCTCCCTCCTTGAATTCCCAAGGCCCAGGGCTGCCAGGCCCTTCTCTAGGGGTAGGAGACGGAGCCATCCCACTGGGCACAGGGCAGGAGTCCAGGCTCTGATAACTGCCTTCAATACCTCTTCCTGCCTGATTCTACATGCTTTGGTGTGCTCAGATTGGGAACAGAACAAGGCGGGGAAACTGTGAACCCCACCCCCATAATCAGCACAGGCATGATCTCAAGAGAGGCTCTCTAGCTCAAACAGCAGAGGGGCCGCCCCCCACCATCTGCCCCTCCCAGACCTTCCCTAGCAATCTCTCTGCTACTTCACGAACCCCAGGCTTTCTCCTCTCCTCTGTCCTCTACCTCGACGCCCAGACCCGAACACCAGGGTGCTGGCCTGAGATGCTGAGGCGTCTTTGATGTCCAACCAAGCTGTAAGCCCTCTGCAGTGGCTGCATCAGCCACCTTCACGGGCATTGGAACCAATTGTCCTTATTCTGCCATTCTAGCATCAGAAGTCTTCACATGCTTTGGGTAGACTTCCCCCTAACTCACCCATGGCTGTGAGGCCTCTCAATTACTCTCTACCTAGTTTACCCGTCTGCTGAGACAGTTTCACCAGAGTGTGTCCCCAGTGCATGCTACAGCTTCTTGGAGCCAAAGGGGAGACTGTGTGAGAGGTGGCTGCCAGAGGTGGAGGAGCCCCGACGAGGGCTCTCCAGCCCTCCCACACCAGGTGCTGACCTGCCCTGAACACCCCATCCACCCCTACACATATACCCATCCCCCCTGGCACGTAGTGGGTACTTCATAAGTGCTGGCTGACATGACTTCACGTTAGATAGGTGAGGAGATAGATGGAAAGCCAGTATGTGTCTGCCCTCAGAGATTCAAGTCCTAAACAAGTTCAGTCTTGGTCCTCAGGTGATGAAGGAAGCAGCAGGTGGGCCTCCTAATGACTTCTTGGGGTCTTTGATGCATAGTAGAAAGTGGGAGGGAGGCCACAGGCCTGCAGGACCAAGTGAAGCCCTCATTTTAAACCAGGAAGCAAGTGAATGACTAATCCAGGGGTGGGGATGGGGAACAGCACAGCCTCCATTACCTGCAGGCCAGGGAGCTTGCCTCCTTCCCCATGCCCAGTCCTGGTCTGCAGCAATCCACAGTTCTCCTTCTTCTCCACAGGGTTGACATGAATTCTCTATCCCACACTTGGCTAAAGTCCAGCTCAATTGTATCTCTGGCATTCCTCCCACCAGCCAGGGTGGTGCAGGATCAAAACGACACAGAGGATTCGAAAGGTGGGGCCTTTGACTCTGCAATCACAGCTTCCCTTTCTCTCTCTTCACCAAACACCCCTTTAATATTCCATCCTCAGACTTGCCCTGCCCTCCCCCTGGGGCTCTGCTAATACCTGTTGTCCTGCTGTCCTGGGCGGTGGTGATGGCCACATTCTGCACAGCGTCTGCAACAGAAGGACCAGGCTGGCTGGGGGCTGGGGCTCTCTGCCCAGCCCAGCCTCAGGCAGGGAAGACATTAAATTCAGAAGCACAGAACTTCAGAGGGGAAGGGAGCTCAAAGACCATCCAGGATAATCACTGTGTGACTGACACTGGCACATGAAACCACAGAGACTGAGAGAGAGAGAAAATAGGAAATGCCAGACTGTGTCTGCTGGGATGCAGCTCTCCCTGCCCTGGGCCAGGAAAAAGGCATCTGGTTTCCCAGGGCTGGGCCAGGGCCGTGGACTCTTGATGCACCCCTCCCTCCTCCCCTCATTGGGGGATGCAGGCCTCCTGCACCTAGCACTCACAGGACACGTTGAGTTGGACGGTTCTCTCTGTGCTCAGACGGCCTCCAGGAAGGGTCACCTGACAGGTGAGGTTGGTGCCATGATGCTGGTGCCCAGGGATGAAGGAGACCTCTGAGGAGTGGGATGCCCAAGAGCTTTGTGTCTTGGAGGAGAGGGCAGTCCCCCTCCAGGAGAATTTGAAGGGCCTGTTTTCCCCACAAGTCCAAAGAAATGTACAGTTCAGAGTCACTGGGTGCCCTGACTCTACCATCTCTGGAATAGAGATGTCTGGTTTCTGGATCAAGTCTGGAGAGGAGAGAGACAGTGAGCCATGGGCTAGGGAGGAAATTAGGCCTCAAGTGTCCTTCCAGATGCTGACACCTCCCCCTTCCCTCAGATCCCTACACTGTTCCCCTCATAGTACGACCTCATTCAGCCCCCTGCTCCTTACCTTCAGGGCCTCCTCTGTCATGCTCAGTACCCAAGTCATGCATGGATTATAGGTCAAGAGGAAGTTGCCTTAGACCCAAGAGAGAACAAGTCTTTCATTTTACATAAGTGGAGACTGAGTCCCTGAGAGCTCCCTCTCTGGGGAAATTATGGGACGAAATGCCCCAAAGAGAGTGAGTCCAAAATATAGGATTTGAATCTACTTCCTTTGACAACAGACCCAGAGTTTTTTCCAGCACAAACCATGGCCCCTCTCAGCCTTACCTGGAGTCCTGGTTCCTCACACAGAGAAGCCCTCCACATTCCCTCCCCTTTGCAGCTCTGGAGCTTTAGGCAGAGTCTTCACCCCCTTCCCTAGGGCTGCCCCTCTCCCTGGGGGGTTCCCCACATGTCCCTCATGTTCTCTCACCCCTCCCACAGGGAGCTTCAGGGTCTCCAAGGCCAGTCCTTTCCCCAGACCTCCCTGCCTCATACACTGAGAACCTCCCAAGAGAGGAGCATCCTACCTGTCACATTCACATAGAGTAGATTCTTGAGGTAACTGTATTTATCATATCCAGAGTGAAATCGGAAGAAGTATTTCCCTGTGTCTGAGAACCGGGCATCTGTGATGCTTAGAGAACAATTGTTCATCCTGGGATCCCCAAGGAGATGGAATCTCCCCTCAGCTTCATCCTCCACCTCCCGAGATGGGTCATTGGTAGCCACGGGTCTGCCATATAAAACATGAGTCCCTTCTCTGAACCAGTAGCCATGAACTCCGTAGTGGTAAGAGAATAATCCTCCTGAGCGATGGAAGGTGCAGAGGACATGGGCACACATCCCTGCCTGCACCGTCACCGAGGGCTGCAGCTCCAGTATCTGGGACAGGGACCCTGAGGGCAGACAGAGGCCTGGTCAGCATCTCCAACTCTTCCCACCCTCCTCAGACCAGTGTCCCTCTGCCCCAGCCCCACTCACCCTCCCACAGCAGGGGCAGCAGCAGCAGTAGCAGCTGCAGCATTTATGAGACAGGAGAGAGCCAGGTTCTGCTGGGACGCTGTGTCACTCCCTGAACACCATGGCTCCCTCTGGCCAGATGTGTGAGGCTGAGGGCAAAGAGGAAGATGAAACAGGAAGCCTGTGTGTGAAGAGAGAGGGGGGACCATCCTCAGAAGAGGAACCCCTGTCCTCCTCCCCCAGTGGGCTCCCATCCTCCTTAGCTGAGGTCAGTGGGGCGGGGCCTCCTGCCTTGGGCCATCTCCAGGGACAGTCAGGACTCAGGTGCTGGTGTCGGGAGGGGGGTATAACCGATTTTCTGCTCAGGCTGTGGCCGTGGATGTTGTGTGGAATAGCATGTTTCTGTGGGTGACAGGGGTGCAGTGACCAGAGCCTGGCCCAGAGCAGGGGCTGACCATCAAACACTTCTGCCCCTGTCCTGTGCCAGCTGACCTGGGGTCAGGAACACCTCAGCTGAAACCTTGCCTCAGACATTTCCTACATGTCATTTCCCCTGTGTGAGCCTCAGTTTTGCCACCTGTAAAATGGGGATAATAACAGTATCTCCTTCTCAGCCTTGTTGTGAGGATCAAATATGATATTTGCCAGTGTTTTGCAGACTTTGAATCACTACAGCACACATATTGGTGTTTATTCTTACTTTATCCTCCTCTAAGATCTCTCTAATCCAGCTACACTGGCCAATTGCATGCTCCATAGGTATGACATCCCTTGCCCATCTCCAGGCCTTTGTGCTGGCTGTGCCCCATGCCTGGAAGGCTTTTAGCCCTCCTTTCTTTTTCCTGGCTGGAACCAAACCTCAGTAAAATGAAGGCTGCCCTATATCAAGTATGCTTTATCACCTTTGGGGCTTGTACAAGAGTCATTGCTGATCTTTTTTTTTTTTTTAATTAATTTATTTTGAATTATCAACACTCACTTCCATAAGCTTTTGAGTTTTAAAATTTTTCCCCCTCTCTCCCCATCTCCCTCCCCAAGACAGTGTACAATGCGATATAGGCTATACATACACATTCCTATCAAACATATCTTCACATTAGCTATGTTCTAAGGAAGAATTAGAACCCAGAGGAGAAAACACCACAAAGAGGAAACAAAACTCAACAAAAGAAAAAATAAATAGCAAATAGTCTGCTTCGATCTGCATTCACACTCCACAGTTCTTTCTCAGGATGTGGATAGAATTTTCCATCAGGAGATTTTTGGAGGTGTCTTAGATCCTTGCATTCCTGAGAAGGGTGAAGTCTATCAAAGTCAGTCATCACACAATATGGCTGTTACTGTGTACAGTGTTCTACTCACTTCACTCAGCATCAGACCATACAAGTCTTTCCGGGTTTTTCTGAAGTCTGCCTGCTCATCATTTCTTACAGTACAGTAGTATTCCATTACATTCATATACCACAACTTGTTCTCCCATTCCCCAATGGATGGACGTCCTTTCAATTTCCAATTCTTTGCCACCACGGAAAGAGCTCGTATAAATATTTTTGTACACACAGGTCCTTTTCCCATTTGTATGATCTCTTTGGGATAGGATTGCTGATCTTTTACTTACATTGGCAGTGACCTGGAAACGAGTTAACTCTGAGCTTCCTAGTGAAAATTTCATCCAGGAAAACTATGTAAAACACTGACTGGGGTGCAAATTCCCCAGACCTGAACTTGGGCTTTGTGGATTCATGGCTTGGCTTTGTGGGCTGGGAGCTTGGAGAGCTTCCCTCAGTCTCCTCTCCCCTCTGGAAGGGAGAGTGCCACAGTCCTCCCAAGCCTGCCTTTGGAGAAGACAGAAAGAGGACTCTCAGCTCGCTCCACTCTGCACCTGCCGCTCTGCCTGGTTTATCCAGAGAATGGGATACCCCTGCTCCAGGGACCCCATTTGACCAAGCGTACTGTGGACGTGGTGGGAACCCCTGATAGAAGCCAGTGGAGTCTAGGGACGCTGCCCACCAGCGTGGGAAATCTTTGTATGAGGCAGGGACCTCCCCCACGTGGCAGCTCTGGGAAATGACCCCTGGGGAAGCTGTGGGGTTTCACAGGGAGTGGGGATGGGGTGAGCGTGGGGGAAACTGACTCCATGCAGAACAGAAAAGGCCTGCCAGCATCTTGTGGCAAAGACAAAGAGCCCCAGTGTTTAAATAGGAACGAGTTCCTGCCCTCAGGGAGCTCACTATCTGTCAGGAAGTTGGCCTCTCCTGCAGATCTCTGAGATGGGCAGACTTACTGGGTGACAAATATCTCAGAATTGTGCAAATGAAGGGCCTTGGAAGGTGGCAGAGATGGCAGTGTGTCCTAGGCAGGCTGCCTGGAGAAGGGGGCTTTGCTTAAGCCTGTATCATGACAACTCACCTTTCTATAGCTAAGGCTGAGAAAGCAGGAAACAGACATTATCCCACTGAAGCTTCACAGAAACCCTGGCAGGAGGACACTTGGGTGTTTCCATTTCCATTTTATAGATGAAGAAAATGAGGCTCAGAGAGATTGAGCCGTTTATTAGCCTATTGTCACGTGGTTGGAGGGTCCCACAGACTTCCTAGCTCAGGGACCAACCCTCCAACCTCAAACCACAGGACAAGGGCCAGGTCACCAGGTCAGCAGGCCTGGGGATGGCCTTCAAGATGGAGAGTGTCTGAGGACCTAAGGTCCTGAGCTGGGAGAGAGGAGGCTGAGAGGGCAGACCATGAGGAGTCCAGCCTGGCTGAGGCAGGTTGGGAAAACCCAAGCCTATGGAGACTCAGCTGAGAACCATGGCAGCCACACAAACTAACTCAATTCTAGGCTGTATGAAAAGAGGCCCTGGGCCTGTGATGAAGGAGGGGGTGCTCCAGTTGTCCTGGCTCTGACTCACCACTTCTGCTGAGCCGGGTTCACTGCTGGGCACCAAGATTCAGGAAGGACAGTGATCATCTGGGGAGGGTCATGAGAGGAGAGATACCAGGCTAGGGAAAGGCCCTGAGGTCGTGCCATAGGCCAATCAGAGGAAGAAGAGGAGACCCAGGGGAGACTTGAGGACTGTCTTCTAGTGCTAGAGGTTGGTCCTCTGGCTGGTGGGTCAGGCTTGACTTGCTGGGTCCTTGAGGGCAAAACTGGGGCCATTGAGTGGAAGGAGCAGGAGGCAGGTCCTGGCTGGGTTCCAGGGCAGGAGAGCCTTCACACAGAGCACTGCGCAGCTTCTGGAGCTGGTGGCAGCTCCCTCCCTAGAGGCTTGCTGTGGGAGAAAGAGGCCGAGTGCTGGCCACAGCTGGAACAGCCTGGCCTTAAGGCCAGGGGGTGTGCGGGGTGCTCGAGACCCCAGGACCCATTTCTGGGAAGAAGAGTGAGGAGGGGGTTGGGCAGTGGGTGAGAGGCATGGGATGTCATAGGCTTGGGGGTCAGAGGGCAGACATACTCACCGGGTGTAATAGAGCCAGGTGAGGCCATAGGTGAGCAGAAAGCCGGCCCCCATGAGGGCTCCCCGGAGCAGTGTGAGCATGAGGGGCCAAGAGCTGTTCTCCTGGGCAGAGAAGGCTGTGGGAGACAGAGGGGCAGGGATGATTAGAGGGGGCATATTTTCCCTGAGGCCCCAGTTCTTCCCCTCCAGCCTCACTCCCTCTCAGGACCCCAGCTCCCTCCTTGAATTCCCAAGGCCCAGGGCTGCCAGGCCCTTCTCTAGGGGTGGGAGACAGAGCCCAGCCCAGTGGGCACAGCACAGGAGTCCAGGCTCTGATAACTGCCTTCAATACCTCTTCCTGCCTGATTCTACATGCTTTGGTGTGCTCAGATTGGGAACAGAACAAGGCAGGGAAACCACGACCTCCACCCCCATAATCAGCACAGGCATGACCTCAAGAGAGGCTCTCCAGCCCAAACAGCAAAGGGGCTGCCCCCCAACCATCTGTACCTCACAGACCCTCCCCAGCACTCTCTCTGGTGCCTCACCCACCCCAGGCTTTCTCCTCTCGTCTGTCCCCTACCTCAATGCCCCAACCGAAGCACCAGGGTCCTGGCTGCCCCCTGGCACCATGTCTCTGACAGAAAGCTCTGGCAACTCATTGCCCCCTCTCACCTGGTCGACCAATGGGGAGCACAGGACAGGGAACTCTGCCTCTGGTGCTCACAGCTGTGCCACTCTCCCCCAAGCTCCAGAGTGTCACCTGGCCGAGCCCCCAGTTCCCTCCTGTTCTCTGTGCATAGATACACCAGGGGTAGGTGTTGGGCTTGGGGCCTTTCACCAATCGCCTCTGTAGACATAACCCCGGGGGGAGTCATGTCTGCAGGCCCAGTTCAGCCATGTGACTTACAGGCTGAGGAAGGGGCTGGCCCTCCATGAACTGCAAGAAGTCAGCCCTAGGGTCATTTTACGTTCTGAGGTCAAGGCCCCATCCACCACTACACATACATCCATCCCCCCCTGGCACCTAGTGGGTGCTTCATAAATGCTGGCTGACATGACTTCACGTTACATAGGTGAGGAGATAGATGGAAAGCCAGCATGTGTCTGCCCTCAGAGATTCAAGTCCTAAACCCTGACAAATTCAGTCTTGGTCCTCAGGTGATGAAGGAAGCAGCAGATGGGCCTCACAATGACTTCTTGGAGTCTTTGAACCATATTAGAAAGTGAGAGAGAGGCCACAGGCCTGCAGGACCAAGTGAAGCCCTGATTTTAAAGCAGGAAATAAGTGAATCACTGACCTGGAGGTGGGCAGGTGGAATGGCACGGCCTCCATTACCTGTAGGCCAGGAAGCTTGCCTCCTTCTCCATGCCCAGTTCTGGTCTGCAGCAATTCACAGTTCTCCTTCTTCTCCACAAGGTTGACGTGAATTCTCTATCCCACACTTGGCTAAAGTCCAGCTCAATTGTATCTCTGGCATTCCTCCCACCAGCCAGGGTGGTGCAGGATCAAAACGACACACAAGCTTTGGTAGCTGGGGCCTGGTCTTGGTGAACCATATCAACTCTTTGAATCACGGTTTCCCTTTCTCTCTCTTCACCAACCACCCCTTTAATATTCCGCCTTCAGAGTTTGCAAAGCTTCAGGTCCAGTTCACTGGCCTCTACTTTGTATGGTCTGTTCTCTTCCTCTTAAATACAACACTCAGGACATTGGTCCCTCTCCTGTCCTACACAGTCCAGGGTCTTTGATATGTTATGGGGAGAGCCTTACCAATATCTGTTTTATTCTCTCTTTCTCTGTTTCTGTCTCTCTGACTATCTCTTTCTCTTTCACTTTAGTAGTTTAGGTGAAAATAATGTGAGAGACAGAGAACAAAACATGCTGTCAGGAAACTGAAATGTCCACATCGTGATCCTGGGAATCTTGTTTCGTAGGGGCCCAGTGTGATCACCACTAGGTTCCCTCACCCAGTAGCCATGTGGCCTCAATGCAAATACTGCACTGGCCCAGACTGAATGCTAAGGGCTCAGCCTGTGTGGCCAGAATCCTGTCCTCCATTGACAGCAGCTGGAACCATTCCCCATAACCTCTTCCTACACAAGCCCCTCAAACTCTCCAGATCAGCCCTGTAACGAAAATGAATGCACCGAGGTAGCAAAGCCTCCCCATTTGGCCTGGACTGCAGAGTGCCAGGTCAGCTTTCCCCAACAGGGAAACATGGATAGGTCTAGTGGACAGAGCACTGGCCTGGGAACTGGACCCCAAGGTGAGACTTGTACCTGTCAGCCTAAGCCTGGTGTAGCGGAGAGGTCACTACATTTAGACTCTACATTTAGAGTTCACATGTCTCTGTGAACTAGGTCAGGCCCTCCTCACAGGTCTGGGACTCAGCTTTCTCATCTGCAAAATGGGGATAAGAACTCTCCCACTCTCTTATCTCATGAGAACATTAGGAGGAAAATGGTTTCTAAGCCCTAAAGTCATGAGTAAATGGGAGCTGATGTTATTCCAAGAGGAGGGGCAGCCCAGGACAAAGAGAACCTGGGTCTGCAGAGTGAGATTCCCTGTCTCACTTCTCTCCCTCACCTCCCTGACATCCATGCCCACCCTCAGAGTAGAACCTGAAAAACCAGGGCCCCCTCCTGGTCCTCCCCCTGCTAATACCTGCTGTCCTGTTGTCCAGGGCCATGGTGATGGCCACATTCTGGATGGCATTTACAACAGAAGGACCAGGCTGGCTGTGGGCTGGGGCTCTCTGCCCAGCCCAGCCTCGGGCAGGGAAGACATTAAGTTCAGAAGCACAGAACATCAGAGTGGAAGGGAGCTTAGAGACCATCTAGGATAATCCCTACCTGACTGACACTGGCACATGAAACCATGGAGGCTGAGAGAGAGAAAAAATAGGAAATGCCAGACTGTGTCTGCTGCGATGCAGTTCTCTGTGCCCTGATCCAGGAAAAAGGCATCTTGTTTCCGAGGGCTGGGCCAGAACCCTGGTCTCTTATTGCACCCTTCCCTCACCCCCTCACTTGGGCATGCAGGCCTCCCGCAATAGCACTCACAGGACACGTTGAGTTGGACGGTTCTCTCTGTGCTCAGACGGCCTCCAGGAAGGGTCACCTGACAGGTGAGGTTGGTGCCATGATGCTGGTGCCCAGGGATGAAGGAGACCTCTGAGGAGTGGGCTGTGTCAGAGCTTTGTGTCTTGGAGGAGAGGGCAGCCCCCCTCCAGGAGAATTTGAAGGGCCTGTTTTCCCCACAGGCCCAAGGAAATGTACAGTTCACAGTCACTGGCTTCCCCGGCTCTATCCTCTCTGGAATAGAGATGTCTGGTTTCTGGACCAAGTCTGGAGAGGAGAAAGATAGTGAGCCATGGGCAGGGGAGGGGACTTAGGCCTCAAGTGTCCTTCCAGATGCTGGTACCTCCACCATTCTTCTGATCCCTACTCTGTTTCCCTCATTTTGTGACCCAATTCAGGCCCCTGTTCATTACAAGCCTCCTGGTCATCCTCTCCTATCTTTAGGATTTGACTTCTTCTTGCAGCATGAGTTTAAATAGATAATATATTAAAGATAATATAGTCCAACCCTCAGATGCTACAGTTGGAGAAACTGAGGCCCAGAGAGGTGCAGTTATGTGCTAATTGTCCCACAGGCCATAAGTGGTCATTCAGGGGGTTGAATCCAGCTTTTGGGGGAGCTATAAATGTACTGCTCTTTCTAGAGCACCCCACAGACTTCTCAGTTTTGCCTAGGGTTCTGCTTCCTCACAGAGAGGAACCCATCATGATCCCTTCCATACCAACCTATGGTATCTGGAGCACAACTTCTATATCCTTTACTTCCTTCGCCATTCTCCTTGGGTCATTCTCCTATATATTCCCCTCTCCCCTCGTTGTTTCCTCCACATGAGACCTTGATCCTCAGGGACCTCCCTGGCCAGTCTCCCCCTGAGGTTCCCTTTCCTCCTGCCCTGGGGCCCTCTGCTGGAAGGTGGTTCCTAACCTGTCACATTCACATAAACCTCAAGTTTCACATGAGTATAGTTCCCTTGTCTCTCTCTCTCCATCCAGAAGTAATATTGCCCACTGTCAGCTTTCCGGGCTTCTGGGATGCTCAGGGAGCAGTTGGCCATCCCAGGATTCCCTAGAAGGTGGAATCGGCCCCAGACTTCTTCTTCTACCTCCCGATTTGGGTCATTTGTTGCAACAAGCTTGTCATATTTTTTATGCATCTCTTTCCTAAACCAGTAGCCATGCCCTGGGGAGACTCTGGGGTTGTGTTCCAGACGGGAGGAGATGTTGCAGGTTACCCGGGCACACATCCCCTCCATCACAGTCACCATCGGCTGCCTCTGGACCTCATATCTTGTAATCTGGCACAGAGACCCTGGGGAGAGAAGAAACCTGGGTCACTATCTCCAACCTCTCTTTCTCCTCACCCAATGCCCTCTGTGATCTAGCCCCACTCACCCTCCCAGATAAGGGCCAGCAGTAGCAACATCCCTGGCACCAGAGAAAGCCAGGCCTCCGACATGTCCACTTGCCTCATGGTTTCTTCTGTCCAGCTCTCCACATCATCAGAACAGAGAGGAAGCTGAAACAGGAAGCTGCTGTGCAGGAACAGGCAGATCACTAGTTTCGTCAGAAGAGCAACCAATTTGCTCCAGCCCAGATGGACTTGGACAGCCCAGCTCAAGGAACATTCAAAATTTACAATGGGGGAAGACAGATCTCCTACAAAGGCTGAGGTTGTGGGTGTTTTGTGGAATAGGATGTTTCTATAACAGGTGTGGGTGCGGTGGCCAGTGGCTTCAAACTCTGAAGACACAAAGAGAAATAATTCCCGTGAGGAGGGAAGAGGGGATGCCTCATCTAAAGAAACCAAGGAAGCCACCAGATAGCTTAGGTTTGAAAGAGACATGCATGGAAAATGGAAGCAAGCGCTCTCTCTCTCTCTCTCTCTCCTCCCTTCTCTGTCTGTCTGTCTCCACCCTTCTCTGTTCTCTCTCTCTTCAACTCTCTTGCTCCTTTCTCTTTGTTTTTTCTTCTTCCTCTCTCTTTCCTCCTTCCTCCCCTTCCTTTCCTCTTCCTCCCTTTATCACAGACCTGTGCCAGAATCTGTTGGCCAAAATTACCACTTACCTGCTAGGTGAGCTGATGCCCCAGCAAAGAGTACAAACTTCTGGATGCTATGCATAAACCAACCAGCCTGAAGTGTCACAAAATGAACAACATTTCGGTTAACATTAGTAGAGACCTGGAATGTTTAAACAGAAAGATGTAGCCCCTCAGCCTCAGCGGAATCCCATCACTTTAATGGAGGAGAAACTAGCAGCCCCTGAGTAGGTCGCCTACAATCATATGTGCATTAGAAGAAACTAAAAAGTTGATGAAAGAATCAGTTCTTTAGCACAAAGACTTTCTTCACCCACAAGAATGTTTCATGAGGGGGCAGCTGGGTGGCACAGTGGATAAAGTTCCACCTTTGGAGTCAGAGGACCTGAATTCAAATATGGCCTCAGACACTTGGCATTTATTAGCTGCGTGACCCTGGGCAAGTCACTTAACCCCGATTGCCTCACCAAAAAGCAAAAAAAAAAAATGTTTCACGAGGTCTGAAATATGTGAGAAGAAACTAATCAAACAGCCTTGTTTAATTTCATAAAAACGAGCAATGCGGCTGACCCGAGGAGGACCCCAACCCCAGCTTTTGGTTGGATATTGTGCTGTGGCTGTCCTTGGATGGTTTTCTAAAACTGTATTGCTCCGAACTACATATAAATTCCCTGGCTTTTTTTTTGTTGAATTAGAACCAAGCGGGGATATCTGTGCATGCTCTGTACAACCCACCAGAGAAGGCAAATCTAAGCATTCTTTAAGTACTTCTCCCTCACTGCCTATCCCCTCACTAGTTAGGAGCCGATGCCCAAGGCAGTTAAGTAGAGAAAGACTTGCTGGTCTTTATGGAAGGAAGGAAGGAGGGAAGGAAGGAAGGAAGGAAGGAAGGAAGGAAGGAAGGAAGGAAGGAAGGAAGGAAGGAAGGAAGGAAGGAAGGAAGGAAGGAAAGAAGGAAAGAAAGAAGTATTTACTAAGTGCCTACTATGTGCCAGGGCAGCTAGGTGGTGCAGTGGATAAAGCAATGGGCTTGGAATCAAGAAGATTCATCTTCCTGAGTTCAAATCTTGTTTCAGACACGTCCTAGCTGTGTAACCCTGGGCAAGTCACTTAACCCTATTTGTCTCACTTCCTCATATGTAAAATGAGCTGGAGAAGGAGATGGCAAACCACTCCAATAACTTTCCCAAGAAAACCCCAAAAAGGGGTCATGAAGAGTCAAACACAACTGAGGAACAACTCTGTGCCAAGCATCGTACAAAGCTTTATGAATATTGACTCACTCAGACTTCATGAAAAACCCTGGGAGGCAGGTGCTGTTGTTACCTTCATTTTACAAGTAAGGAAACTGAGGCAAACAGTGGTGACATGGCTTGCCCAGGGTCACACAGCTAGGAAGAGTTTGAGGCTACCTTTGAACTCAGGTCCTCCTGACTCCAGGCCCAGCACTCAATCCGCTGCATCACTTTTGTATCTCTTTATAAGCTACACTTACAAGGCCAGAGGAACCAATATGTCTAGTGCTAAAAGAGCTAGTGGATGTGCTGGTTGAACTGTAACAAGACTCTCTGAATCGGTGCCCTCAGACCCTGGGAAAATTCATCAGCTCAGTTTTAGATCTCCCACCCTGGAGCTGCCGTGATTGGGGAGTGAGGGCAGATTTACCCAGCCACCTGCCAGACCATGGCCCATAGTCTGTCCAACTGCTGCCACAGCCTGCACCATCTTGGCATCTTCACTTTCATTGCATTTGTAACCTTTGACCCCTTTTCTTCATCCTGCCCTGGATATCAAATAATACTGCGGCTCCTTCCACAAAGAGGGTGCTCATCTGTCCGATGGCTCCACTCACCATCCCTTGTGACTCCCTGAATCCAAGCACCCTTTATCTATCACTACAGCCAATAGGTATTGTCCACCCTATTAGAACATAAGTTCCTTGAAGACAGAAGCTGTATCACTTCTATATCTCTATGTCCAGTGCTTGGCACCATGCATGGCTCATGGTGAGTGCTTGGTACATTTACCATGAAGAATGGGAGTGGTACGTTGAAAAAGAGCTAATATCCTTTTAAAAACTAAAAAAAAAAAAGAGAAGATAATGGACTTTGTAGGCTATTGGCTAACTACAATTCGACTTTGCCTTCTGACAATATTCTAGAATGTGGGATTAAAGAAGTCATGTTGGGATCAGGCATATATGCAGAGACCCTCTCAGCTTGCTCAGCTGCTGCAAGCTTCTGATGTGGCAGGTCTAGGAAGATGGCTTCCAGGAGCATTGTGATGACAAATGGGGAAATGGGCTTTGGACAGACTGCAGAGCATGTGTGGACACTCTAGAACTAGTTTTAGTCACCTTAGCTGGGAGGAGTTTTTTCTGATTGGCTACAGAGCTGGATTGTTGGGGACTCTTGAAAAGACCCGAGGCAACTTTGGTTACCCCTTGGCTTTATTTATATCTTAGGGAGCTGATGGCATCTGGTAAATGACCATGTAGTGGGAAGTGAGCAGAACCAGGAGTTGTGCATGGTGACAGTAATATTGTAATGATGATTAACTTAGCTACTCTGATCAATAGAATGATCCACCACAACTCGAAGGACTCATGATGAAAAATGCTATTCACCCCCAGATGGAGAACTGATGGACTCTGGGTACAGATTGAAGCATTTTTTTTTCTTTATTTTTCCTGCCTTTTCATTCATTCATTCATTCATTATTCATTCATTCATTCGTTTGTTTGTTTATTTTTGCAACCTGGCTAACGTGGGACTATGTTTTGCATGACTTTATAGGTATAATGGGTATCATAATTCTTGCCTTCTGGGTGGAGTCAAGGGAAAAAGAGAATTTGGAACTGAAAAAAAAATCTTAAGAAAGACCATGTGGGTAAGGGGGTTGGTTTTAAGATCTTCTTACCTTCTGAAGCCATGTAGTCCACAAGAAATGGGTCTGAATCATTGGTCTTTTTCATTTGTTCTTTTCTATTCTAGGTTCAGAGAGTGGAGTCTAGAACCATGAGAATGAATATGAATCCACAAGAACATGGGAATAGGAATCCAGGCCAGGTTGCAGCCAGCACAGCCCTGAGGAGAAAGGGGTAACTTGCAGAGCTACCCTCTGAACCAATGTCAACAAAATTTGGACTGAGGACTCATCCAGCAGGAATGCTGACCTTGGGGCATGAATTTGGTGGGTCCAATGCTACATAGGAACTGAGCTAAGTCTGAGCTTATTCTATCAGAGACAAGGTGGCTTAGGAGAGAGAATGCCCTGCATGTATTAGGGAAAACGTCTATGTTTGTTCTGGCTATACCTCTGAAGTAAATGGGCCTTTGTAAAAGTTACTCCATGTTAAGTGATTAAATAGAACTGAGGCACTATTAACTGACCCATAGCAATGGTGGAAACAGCCAATGACAGTGGAGGAAAACCTGCCCTCTTATCCCTTTAGAACTTTGAGGGGAGCTCAAGAAACAGCCTGTACCTGAGAGAAAGGACCAGAGCCTACAACGTAGAGCATGAGCTTGACTTTATCAAGCACAGGTCATGCCAAACTGACTTTCATCCCTTCTAAAAAAAAAAAACCAAAACAAAACAAGAACAACAAAAAAGTGATGTACTTTATCACATTTTTTCAGTGTATTCTTTTTTAATTTACAAGGATAGATAAATGATAGATTCACAAATCAGCTATTAAGCACTTATTCGGTGGTGCCAGGCACCATGCTATTCAATGGGAATATAGATAAAAACAAGAAATGATAGTCCTTACCCTAAAGGAGCTTATATTCTAATGGGGGAGAGATTATACATTTGATGAGTTGGAAAAGTGGGAAGGGAAGGAGAAGGGGGCAAATTTGGAAAATCAGGAGTGGTGCCAGGAGAGATGTGTGCCTGAATAGCCTAAGAACCTCATGAAATAGTGGTCTAAAATAGTCATTCATCAATCAGAAGAGAGGACCACAAGGATGGAGGTATATCCAGGCTGCTGGGAAGGAGATTAAAAAAAAATTCAGGAAAGTTAAAATTGGAGTTCTTTTTACATATGGTATTGTTTCGTCTATTGGGCTTCTTGGGAAGCTCTGAGTCCAATCTGTCCTTGGCTCCCAATGCAGACATTGTCATCAGCTGATCTGGGGATGCTACTAAAATGTTGATGAAAGACTAATAAGTCTTCTTCTGGCCAACTGGGGAATAGGAGAAGGAAACCTGCAGTCCTCTCCCAATTAAACAAAAAGAAAAAAGGGGAAAAAACTCACAAAAATGGTTCCTTCATTGGCAATCTCCAAAAAGACAAGCAAGTCTCATTCTTAATTATAAGCCTATCACTTCTCTCCCAAGAGGTAGGGAGCGGACTTCATCTTTGGATGTCTAGAATCACGTTTTGTCATTGCATTGATCTGAGTTTTAAAGTCTTTCAAAGTTGTTTGACTTTATAATTTTGTTGTTGTGTAAACTGTTCTTTTGGA